TGTACTTTGTAAAGATGTAAAATGCTGCTTAATTATTTGTTCCAACAACTGTAATTCTTTTTTTTTTTTTTTTTTTTTTTGGCTGTGGATGTGACTAAGCTTCAGGCAAACTTAAGCCTGTTTTAAATAAATGCAAATAAGTAGAAGGTCACACTGAATGAAATCATGGTAACAGTAATAAATAAATAGCATCCCTCCAATTAATCTGTCCAAGCCCGTTTATATGCAGCGTCCCATATACCTGACATTCTTCGGTACGTGATCCCACAGGGTATTACATGGCATTTCTGCGAGCTGAGGAATTTACATATTTTCAGAGGAGACCTGAATAATGTTTTAGCCGATTACCCTGCTGGAGCTTGTTTGCTGAACATCATAAAATCATGAAATGGATCCAGTATCTGTGTCTGTAATTTGGATGCTCTCGAGCAGCTTTAAGATGGAGGATTTCTGCTGATGTGAGCGGCTCTGTTTTGCTTGTTATTGTTAGTTATGAGGTATGACCTGTGACAAGGCTACATATGGTGCGCATCAGAGTGTTATGGTTCACCGTAGCAGTAGATGAGATTGTGTGTGAGCTGCACAAAAATGTTCTCCACAGCAGGGTATCCTGGTAACAACAGCAGAGGGCAAAAAATAATATAAACTAGCTTGGTGTTATTCAGAGAGTAGGCTTAAAACAGACAAAGTGCACATAAACGCACAGGTGCGCTCACCTGGACGTCTTCACAGAGCCATCTGTCACATGACTGCCCGTGCCAACATTGTCGACACAGAGGCTTTCTTGCCTTCGCTGTCTGGACCCTGCAGGCAAGATTGTCCAGTCTGGTTCACACACTAATGTATTATAGTTCATATAATACATATATATGTCATGTGCTTTCTATTGGAAAAATGATCGCTTTTGAAGAAATAATTTAATTGAAAAGGACATACTGTTGAATTTCTGTAAAGCAGCAGTTGTATATAGTAATTTATTTTTAAACTCAGGACACAGAAAAGGTGTGCAAACATTGCAATCCCTCACTTTGGTAGGTACCCAGTACTGGATATTCTTCATGGAATAGATTCCATAAGGTGCTGGAAACATTCCTTACAGGTTTCGGTCCTCATTGACGTGATAACATCACACAGTTGCTGCAGATTTGAGGGCTGCACGTTTGTCAGTCTCCCGTTCCACAACATCTGAAAGGTGCTTTATCAGATTGGGATCTGAAGACTATGGAGGTCATTTGAGTACACTGCTATGTAGGGCTGCACGATTTTGCATAAAATGAGAATCACGATTTTTTGGCTTAGAATTGAGATCACGATTCTCTCACGATTTTCTTTTCCAGTATAAATATTTATTGCACTTATTAACTGCACATCAACTTCGTAACAGTTGAGACTGAACATAAAAACAATAAATAAACATAAAAACAAATGTCTCACGTTTTGTTGTTGCCGCAAAATGTTGTACTGCTTGAAATTCCGTCTCCACCGTTGCTCGACACTGCGTGTGTCTGACGTCACTAGCCGTGTCTGGGTCTAAAATCCGCTGCAGGTCCATATATCAAACGATCACTGTGGCATTACTGAGAGTTGAAAAACTGTCTAAAGTCTTTCATCTTTAATAAAATAATCAGCGTTCTGCTCTACCAGGTGTAACAATTGAGTTTAACATCCAGGCATCCATGAAAATGGAATTTATGACATTTAACGGAGTTAGAAGTTAGCAGAGAGTTAGCTCGCTAGCTTCTATCTAAATACAATATAGCATGTCCTGACTGCGGGGTTTTGGAAACAAATTAAAACGTACAGCTCTCCTATCACTTCCAACATAAATGAAGACAGAAAACTAAACAGCAGTGACGTTTGTAGGGTTACTGAAGTTGGGCTAGCTGGTATATAATGATGTGCTACGTGACCACTAGCGACACAGCTATGTTAGCATAATATAAACAAGCTAACTTTTTTTCCACTCGATAACAGTTACCGTGAGTGTTGTCGGTGGTCAGGAACAAATGTAATCGCATGGCAGGATGCTGTAAAAGGACCAAACTTCAGCCAGGAGAACAACTGAGATAATCCATCCACAATACGAGGTTAGTCATTCATATACTGCTGCATGGGCTGGGCTGTAGTTACATCCTAAGGTTTTAAAAACTGAGCTTAAATAAATGATTAGTGGTAATAAAAGCCGAGGGAGGTCAACAGGGATCACTGACTGTTTTAGGAGCTTTTTGAGATCAAATAGAAGAAAATACATAACATTAAACATGTTAACAACACAAAAGCCATATTAAACGCAGACTACTTTAGACCCGGAAGTAGGATTCGTCGCGTCATCACTGAACAACCGGATAGAGCAGGTAGTGCAACAATAGAAAAATAGTTGCGGGACAGCACTGTGTAGCGTTTGTCTGGGGTGTTGATCATTTTCCTAATTGTACAGTGTTGATGGGAGCCATACCTTTGGTCAGGTGATAAGTAATAGCCTCCGTAATTTCTTTGTGCCTGCGGGAGTTCGACGTGTATATGGAAGCGCTGCATAAGGTTCCCGTTATTGATGTTTGGGTGGTTGACCGGGACGGACTTTCTCCTGTCACTTTCTCGTCATCCCTGACGTGCTCTCCGTTGTTTTTTCCCTGCTAATTTTAGCAGCCAGCTTCTGTATCACGTGGTATAAGGCTCCGCCCTTGTCATTTGTTGAGCAGAAAGAGTGAGCGCTTGTTTTCATGCAGATTACGTCCCGGATCAAAATGCGGTACAATCGTCGTCTTTTTTTTTTTTTTTTTTTTTTTTTTAAATCGTTGTCATTTGGAAATGAGATCGCACATAAGTATGAATCGAGATCGCGATTTTCTAACGATTAATCATGCAGCCCTACTGCTATGTTCACTAAACTAACCTGAGATGATTTGAGCTTTGGCTCATCAGTCCAGACAACAGTGGTCCAGTCTCCTGTTGTCCATTTTTCCAGAGCCCGTGTGACTTGTAGCCTCGGTCTCCTGTTTTTAGGAAAAATTGAGTGGCAACTGTGTAAGTCTGCTGCTGCTGTAGCATTCAGCCATGCTCTTCTACATATGTTCTAACAATATACACTAACAAGTGTATATTTAACTTACTGTTGCCTTCTTATCAGCTTAAAGCACTCTGACCTCTGACCTCTGGCGCCAACAATTTCCAAAATACTCAAACCAGCCCACTTAGCACCAACACCCATGCCATGTTCAAAGTCACTTAAGTCACCTTTCTTCGCCATTGTGGTGCTCAGTTTGAGCTTCAGCAGATCATCATGAGAGTTAGATTAATTTTATGCCATGTGGTTGGCTGAGTAAAGACTTGTTAACCAGCGGTTAAACAGGTGATTGGCTGTTGAACTGCTTAACAGATATTTATGGGAAATGTAGCCTTTAGCACAAACAAAAGGATGACTCTATAATGAGGCAGCCAGCTTTCATAGAAACTTTTCTCTTTCTTAAGCTGTCAGTGTCAGTGATGCTGTATTGTCTCTTCAACGAGATAATAAACCCTAACACCAAGCTGAACATTGTTGCAACATTTTGGAGAGATGATTGATAATTAAAGGAACTGTTCAACCCCAAATCAAATATAAATGTTTTTGTCTTGCCTATTTTCAAGATATCTGCTATAGAAATGTCTGTCTTCTCTTGAATGTAGTGAAACAACATGCCATTCGCCTGGTACTCAAATTGCATATGAAAAACACAGAAGTCGAGACCACCTAGTTCCATTATCTGTAAGAGAAGGCAGACATTTCTACCAGAGGTGACTAAATATATGTTTAACTTTGGGTCAGACTGACCTTTTTAATGATAACTATGCCTTCTAAAATGTCCTGCAAACATAAAGACTGTGATTACTGTGACGCTATAGTATAGAATTGCAGAACTGTGTGAAGCATTACTGACTCTGTGGTCACTTAGCGACACCAAGTGTTGGATGGCAGAATTACAAGCATTTGCCTGTTTTATATGAACCAATCATAATACCAATACTTAAAATAGAAAAAACCCACAAAACTTTCTCTGCGTAACTTTAAACATTTGGAAGGTTTTGAACCAACACAAAGTTTTTGCCAGTCTGTGTAATGTTCTGTTACTTTATCAGTTCTTCTTCTGATCAATAAAACATCTTCTTACTTGCTTATTTGTAGTCATAGGTGAGGCGCAGACCAGTGCCACTGATTTACCGATTTACTAAACAACTCTTTTCATTTAGTATAGTATTTTGTTATTGTTCGACTGATTTTGATGCACTATTCCTTCCGCTTCCCGTGACGTTGTTGTTCATTTTCGATCGGGTCAAAGAATGAAAATGTGTCATCGCTTTCCTTTGATATTTAACCCCAGACGATTTTCTAAATTGACAGTGTTATTGGGACATTAGTGGGTGAGTGACACAAATGTGGCTGCTTTTTCGTAAACAGCTTTAAAAAGCCTTGCGGTGCAGCTTGGTGCAATTTCTATTTCTGTGTTGGTTCATTATCACTGACGAAAGATTCTATATTTATATATATTTATATGTATGAAAAAAAAATTGCCTGCAGAGAAAGACGGCGAAAGGAGGCCAGAGACAAAAGATGATAGTGGGATAAAAGGATGTGGGGGTGAGGGAGGAAGGGAGGTGGTAAGTGATGGTGGTGCCAGTAGTGGTGGTGGTGGAGGGGGCTGTATGTACACGACCAGAGTTAGCATGAGACAGAGGAAAAACAGAGAGAGAGAGAGAAGGAAAGAGATGGGATTTTAGAGGATTTAGGTGGTGGTTTTGTATTAAAACCTGTTAGACACATCGTAACCAAGTACAGCGACATTCAGGAATCAACTCAGATACAACTCGTTGGATGAAATCTACTTTTTTTAACACCTGGGATCTGAATCAGGACAGCCTTCGGTGAACTGGATACACAACTAACATCTCCCTTCTTTCCCTCTTCCTTCTCTTTTTTTTCTCTTCTTCCTCTCCAACTCCCTCCGAACATGTTCTTCTTCCAGCTCGTCATCATGTCCGGCACGGTCCTGTTGGCCTACTACATGGAGTGCACGGACCTGTTCAGCGTCCACGTGCAGGGTTTCTTCTGTAATGATGCTGACCTGATGAAGCCGTACCCTGGCACGGAGGAGTCCAGCTTTGTCCCTCCTCTCATCCTGTACTGTGTGGTGGCCGCTGCTCCGACGGCTATAGTAAGTAAACAGCAGTGTTTAAAACCAGGTCTTCTCTGTGGATTGCTCGAATTGTTTTACGATTTTCTCGTAAACAGCCGTCGTTAAATCCAGCTTGGGTTCATTTATTCAGGGTCTCCTCATCTTTGACTTTGCTTCGAATCCTTCGCATCCATTTATTTTGAGGAGTGAATAATTTAAAAATGCAATTATCATTACTCTGCTAGGTGTCCTAGTATATGCAGGCTAATTTAAAGTTGTAATTTTGCGTGACATGACCCAGTTTTGTGCCAGCATTTTTAAGTAAAACTGACTTGCAAATAATATACCTATCATTAGATATCATCCATTCAGCCTTCTGTCTGTACGCTACAGCAGCTGCATACCTATCTCTGGTAAAATATGGAAAAATATGCAAGAAAGATTTCACGGCAAGCAGTTTATGCCTGCAGGCCGTACTCTTTCAATATCTTTTTATGGGTCAGCTAATAATATGTATGTCCCTGATTTCCTGTCTGTAGAATCGCTTTGACTTGTTTATCATACTCTACAAAACATCCTGCTATAGTGAAATGTGAGGCTGTGCTATACAGGGAGCAGTACATGTTGAAATACAACTTCATATCATATCTCATGGAAGGCAAGAATTACATTCACTGACATGACTTTTATTTGTTTGCAGACATTTTAACAAGGACATGTTATGCAAAATCCATTGCCTAGTAATGGCATTATTAGCATATTAGGCTAATTTGTCACAGGATGTAAAGCACACACGTGTAATCAATACCATGAGTCATATTTGGCCATATCTGTTGAGGGTGGCACAGTCCTGATGCACCAAAGCCATGTGTTACTACTCTGGTGTTTGAAAAATTCCAGCTGCAAAGATAAGAAATCATTCTCTGAAAACAGTCATTTCCAAGCTGACTTGTACGCTCATACCGTGCATGCACTGCTGATTTAAATGCCTCAAACAGGAGTTGCGAGTTTCAGCCACCAGGTGTCAGTTTTGCTCCATGCTTATTAATTTCAGCCCGTTCACAACAGGCACCATCTGTCTCTGAGCCCTTGGGTCAGCTCATTATTAAACCCATGTCAAATATTTTCTGAACACTTCCTGAAGCGTGTTTGCATTTGCTTGTTTGATATTAAAATGTATTTTTTCTCTCCAATGGGCCATATGTGAAGGAAAAACAAAGTTAGTCTGAGAATACAGAGAACGTTTGGTTTTTGAGTAGCTGCTGTCTGAAGGTCAAATGGCCACGTATATATGTATTTGAAGATGTACTATGGATACATTGATAGCAGCTATTTTACCAGCATTTGTTTGTTGTCAAAATCAAAATATCTCACCAGTGCTGGAGATTGTACAGAACTGAGATTAGGATCAGTGGGTTTGACTGGTTGATGTGCTGCTGTGATTCTGAAGTGTAGTGTAATCACTTATTCTTTCTGTAGGACAATTAATTTTCATTTATCTTTTTTTTTTTTTTGTGCCCTGGTTTTCTTGTTCAAAAAGACAGACTTGTTGTAAAGACCATAAACAAGATCGTGGATCATCAGCTTAAATGTCCAATCAGCATCAACTTCCCAGCTTTTTTGCACTTACTTGGTATTATTTTATCTACTGTGCTAATCGAGTTACTGAGTGGTTGAAAAGCCGGCTCACATGCTACATGTTCCATTGATTGTAATCTAAATTTTGCTCCCTAAATGAATATAGAAAACCCTTTTCAGTAGTGTCACATGTCCATTTCCCTCATAACCTTGTTTTTATTGCAATTTTAACAGGCATCTAATCATGGATGTGATCTTTACACCAGTCGGTTAACACATGCACTACCACCCATTTATTTATGATCAGCTGCCTCCTTTGGTCCCTTGCTTTTATGCGCTTCTACTTTAGGTGTTTGCATAGAGGCTTTGAACACCAACTGTTGTCACAAGCGTGTTTCCTGAAGTAAAATCTGAATTATTGTCACTTTTATTGAGGAAATAAAAGACATCCCATAGCTTGCATTTACCTCCATGTAGGTGTTTGGTCTCTTGATGTGTCAGCAGAACGGAGAGAAACACACCTCTCTGCATTCACACACATATGTGCACATGCAGATTTGACATGCTTTATACAATAACACAAGCTGGTTTAAAATCTGGAAGGGTGCTCTGATTGGCCAGGAAATGTGACAGATGTTATTATTTACACTTCATGGGGTAAGAGTGCATCTGTGTGCAATTTTGACTCACCTTTCTGCAGTGATTACTTCAGTAAGTGGGTGTGCTCACTGACCACTTCATTAGGTACACCTTACTAGTACTGGGTTGGACCTTCTTTTTCCTTTAGGGCTCCCTTAGTTCTTCATGGGATCAATTCAATAGAGTGCTGGAGACACTCACCTGGGATTTTGGTCCATATTGACATGATAGCAGCAGCTGGTTGAAGATTCTCAAGAATCTCAAGTTCCATCACATCCAAAAAGTGCTCTAGTGGATTGAGATCGTGTGATAATGGCGCCTTTTTGAGTATAATGAACTCATTGTTGTCTTTAAGAAACCAGTTTGGGATGATCTGGGCTTTGTGAAATGACACAATAACTTGCTGGAAGCAGCCATCAGAAGATGGGTACAGTGTGGTCGTAAAGGGTTAGACATGATCAGAAATAATATTGAGGTAGCCTATATCATTTAAAGAATGCTCAAAGTGTGCCTAGAAAATATCCCCAAACAATTATAAGGCCACCAGCAGCCTGAACATTTGGTACAAGGCAGGATACATCCATGTGTTCATGTTGTTTATGCTACATTCAGACCCAACCATCTGAATGTTGCAGCAGAAAGCGAGACTCGTCAAACCATGCAAGGTTTTTTTTAACCTTTTATTTTACTGTATTGTACTGTAGCTTCAGCTCTCTGTTCTTAGCTGACAGAAATGACACTCATGCTGGTCTTATGCTGCTGTGGCACAACTGCTTCAAGGTTCTATGTTTTCTCTGTTTAGATATGTTCTTTTGCATACATGAATTGTAAAAAGTGCATACTTAAGTTACAATTGCCTCAAGTATGATAGCAGTCTGGTCATTCCCCTTTGGCTTCTGACATTACTGAGGCATTTCCTCCCAGAGAGCTGCCACTCACTGGATATTTTCTGTTGTTTGGACCATTCTCTGTAGACACTAGAGATGGCTTGGTGAGGAAATCCCAGTAGATTGGCTGGTCCAAGTACTTCAGAAACCGCTTACAACCAACAACCATGTTCAAAGTCACTTAAATGACCTTTCTTCCCCATTCTGTTGCAAGTCATCTCGACTATGTCTGCATGCCCAAATGCTTTGGCTGCTGTCATGTGATTGGTTAATTAGAATCTTCAATAAGGAGCCATTGAAGAGGTGTACCTTATGAAGAGGTCAGTGAGTGCATGTGTGTGTACTTGGTCATGGTATGCAGTCAGTAGATAAGTATAATTATTTATTTTGTTGTTATCCTTTGTTTATAAACACCACTCTGTCACTGGAACATTTGTTAGTGGATGATTTTCGCATCATACCTGCAGATTAAATCTTTCTTCCTTTCTCCAAGTGTCACTTATTCATTCAACCTTTATCTTGACTTGTAAATTGCACTGAACCCACTTGCAAGCGTTATTTACTATATACAGTAGCTGACTAAAAGGCCAGCAGTTGTTTAACGCATTGTTTGCGTAATTTAATACTCTGTCTTAGTCCCATCCCCTCCTCAGAGAGTGCCGTGTCAGCTGTTAAAGCTTTTTTGTAATCCTGCCACTTCTTTCCACTGTTTTTGTTTTATTCTGCTCCCTTTTTTGTGACTTTCTCTTTGGAATATGCTCTATATGGCCTTTCTTTTACAAATTGCCTTTAGCCATTGGTACGCCATCCCATACCTTATAATTGTGCCCTTTGAGAGTGCTTTGTCAGGTGCTTGACACTGTGTGTCATTCCATCTCCATGTGTCATAAAACAGAGGGGCATTCAGTCAGAATTAATGATGGCAGGGCTGGGACGTGGGCCAATTAGTACAGAGTCAGTAAATTATGCAGTTTTCCACATGGCCGGACCAATGGGATGCTGTGAAGGTTAGATGGGCTGTGTTCATGCAACAGCCTATAAACCCGTTCAACCATGGCATAAGGCAAAATAGAGCCCGTTTTATCATTTTCAGTGCCAAGATGATAAAATATTGCTTTTGCCAGGTGTACATCCCACAGAAACAAAAGATAATGTTTCCCAAAATGGGCAACATCTGTGCATTTTATCACACACCATTTTAGCTCCTTGTGGCTTATTCCACTTCCTGAATTGTGTGTCTTGGTAGCAATACTGAAAATGATGGGCTCATTAAGAAGAGATTTAAAGCTTAAAGCAGCATTGATTGTTGTTGTTTTTTTGTTCTGTTTTTCCCTTTTCCCCCTCTTGGCAGAGTAGCAAGACTTAAGCTCGACATCTTTACATATTATCACCCTCTGAAATGAATATGCAAACTGTATCCTATTCACACATCCTCAAAGACACAAAGCAGTATCAGCGTTCATTTGGTGTTTCAGGAGTCATATTCTGTTTTAGTTTTGTTTATTTTCTGCATTGAATCATGAGAGAAGTATTTGTTTCATTAGCTGCTAATTGGTCTAACAGCTCCTCAAAGCTCCTGTAAACAAAGCTGATGAGCTTAAAGACGTGAATATCTTCTAAAGAGTTGAAGGGAAGTGCACAGTTGGGAAAAGTTATGTCACTGTATCGTTACACAGTTAAGTCAAAACAAGCTCTATTTTGACTTAACAAAGTGTTTATTTTACACTTTGTTCCATTATTACACAAAACTGTGTGTCTGTTTTGTTTTTTCTTTCTTTCTTTTTCTGCAACCAAACCTGGCAAACAGATGCATCTCAGGCCCCTGGAGGTTCTGATCAGTATTCGATATTATGGCATTGCCATATTGCCAAGCATCCACCAGCATTGGTTTAAAATGATGCATTTTGATTCAATTGCATTAATATCTAAGATCTT